CATTTTGACTTTAATTTAGTGCATGGTGAATGACATGGGTCTAGTTTTAGTCTTCAGCATGTGGAAAGCCAGTTTTTCCAGCACCGTTTATTAAAGAGGCTATCTTCCTTCCATTGAACATGTTTGGCCCCTTTGTCAAAGATAAGGTGACCGAGTGTGTTTGTAGTTGTATCTGTATCTTATAATCTGTTCTGTTGATTCAGCCTTCTAATTAAATGTGTTTTGAAATAAATTTTGAGAATCTTTCTATATAAGTGAGGTCATACTAGATAGAAAACAGCTGAGTTTTGTAAAACTTAAAGTATTTCACTTATACATGAGTGGAGTAGTTCGGACTCACTCTTTGAAATTGTAGGAACTGTATTTGGAGACTAATTGCAAATCAGCTCCTATAAGTTTCTAATTGATATGTATTTTGATCTTTTGTGACACCAGTCAATCATATTGTTAGGCAATACATCTTTTGGCTTTGCTACATTAAAATAAGTCATGTATATTAGATGAAAGACGATGAGCATAATTCTTAAAGTTTTTTCTTAATAGAGAAGCCTTTATTTATTTATTGGGTTAGCTCTGCTGATAAGGAATCAGTTCATAGCCTGTTGAAGTTGGCTCACTTTGATTTTCATATTTCAATGAAGAAATATTCAAGATCAGTTAAGACTTAAAAATATTAATGATGAAAGACTTTTAATAAAATAGAATGGAACTGTAGAGTGGAGAAATAATTTTTGATAAATCACTTCCCAGTAGTTAAATATGATTTTGGGACATGACATTGATCATGTCATGATGACTTTTGGGACCATTGTTTATCTAAAATAATTTCAAAGTACATATAAATATACCTGAGAACTTAATATAATAAATGAATTTTCAGTTGCTTTACTCATTGTTTTATAGTACTTTATATAATAATTGATAAAAAAACTTTTAGGAATATTATTGAACTTAGCATTTATTAAGAAAAGCAACATTTTTGGATTATATCCCAAGACTCCCAGTGGATACCTGACATGGCAGCAGTCAGTGAACCTATGATTAATTCCTTTTCTTTCTTAACTAAGTACTTAGCATATATTTGACCATAACTTCTACAGTTTGAGGTATCAAATCAAATCTGTATTATTTTATTTATTTTTGAGGCAGGGTTTCACTATGCAGTTCAGGCTGGCCTTCAACTCACTTTGTAGTCCAAGCTGGCCTCAAGCTTGCAGTGATCCTTCTGCCTTACCTTCCAAGTGTTGGGATTACAGGCATGTGCCACCATGCCCGGCCTTGTTTTAATTTTTATAAATATATAATGATCACATCCATCATGAGGAGTTGGTAGTATCTACAATTTCATGGATAGATGTTAGCAGCATCAGCATACAATTTTTTCCCCCTTACTTGAGAATCTTCACCTTGTTACTTAAAAGAAGGACCTTTCAGAATGGCACATAATTTAGAATTTATTTGTGAAGTTTTCCTTTAATATTTATTTTCCCTTTTATATTTGACCTTGGATAAGTGAAATGCTGCGAAGTGAAAGGTGAATAAGTAGGAACTTGTGTATTTTTTCTTAAAGCAGAAGACTTGTAACAAGTTAAATATGTAGTCACCTGCTTCGTTATTGAGTGTAATTGAGGAAAGTGGAAGGAGGTCTTTGCATATTCAAAGTGTAGTCAGCATGAAGGCTGCATGAATTTAGCTATAACTAAGGATTCACAGGAGAAAGCTGTGAGACCAGAGGAAGATGACAAGGTCAATCAGTGCCTCTGTCATTTGTTTTCTTACATTTCTGCCAGTTAAAGAAAATATGACCATCTTTTAGAAGTTAAAAAAAAACTTCTTAAAATTATCATACAGTGAAATTGATTTTTTATTAATATACTGCATCGGTGTGTCATAACACATACATTATTTTGTTTAACCATCCATAATCAGGATACAGGATAGGATATATCAGTAATCACGACACAAAGTCATACCCAAGCTTTCCTCCTGCTGCCCATATGTGGTCATACCCACACCAACTTCTGAGGCTTGATAACTGCTGATTTGTTCTCTATGCTGTTAATTTTGTTTTCACAAAATGTCATACAAGTGGACTTGGGAATTTCTTCTGAGACTG